GCAGAGTGGAGGGATGGCGCAGGAGAGGAAGACCCTTGATGAGATGGATCGATTGTATGAGTAGAGTGGTGGGAATGAATGTGTTTGAGACAGCGAGGTTGGAACAGGATAGAACGGCATTTAGCGCTCTTGTACATAGGGTCGCAACGAGTTGCAAACGACTTGATGGCACATAACAACAACAACAAATGAGTGTGTTTCATCTCTTGGGCTTGTATCTCAAATTGCGGAAGACGGAAGACTGATTCACAGTAATGCAGTTCCTCTTTTCTCTTTGAATGTGAACATGCAGGTGGCTGTTTCTTGTCAGGCTCAAAAGCTCTGTCCTCACTCAGCTCTCTGTTCACGACACCAGGTTCCTGTGCCACAATTAGTATCTCTCTGTTTACTTAGCTTTTATCATGTCTGTGATGACACGTAAGACACTAGCTCAGTTATTATAAAATAGCACTTTGATGCCAATTTGATTAACAATTCTTCTACACAGGAACCTTGCAAACTTCACTTAGGGAAATGATTGGGCAAAGGAAGAAAATACTTGGAAGGAACAAATACTTGAGTCTCTAGGGCCACAATAGCAATAATTTTGAACAAACACATATAACATAGATATTTTATTTCTGAGCTAGGACCAAAGTCACATTTAAAATAGCCCCCAAAATGTCTGAACCCTGGCCACTTGAATTATCTTGGCCATCAGCGATGTGAATAGCATAGAAAATCTAATCATCACAACAAAAAGCAGCACAGACACTGTTTAGGAAAGAAGAAATTTTGAACTCACAAACCTTATTTCATTAGGAATTTCTTCTTCCTCCTCTTCTTTATTTTTGCTTCTCCAGTAAAAAAATGCCCCTAAAATCAGTGCAATGCAAAAAATGATAATAACTGCACCAGTGCCAATGGCTCCAGCTATCAGTCCAACGCTCCTGGGCTGGGCTGCAAAATATATTTAAGACGCATTTAAAGAACTTCAACTACAGAACAGAACGATAGCACATACCCTTGCAATTCTACAAACATATAAGCTTATTAAAGAATGTTTTAAATATGTATAAAATTATCAGAAGTGTTGCACCCATATAATGCTACACATCAATTTATATTCTATCTCCAATGGCTGGGACTACAATGTAGGCTCTCTAGTGTTTACTGAATGAATAAATAAAAAACTTCACAAAACTTTGGAACAGCAAAATAAGAACATGGTAGGAAAGTGAGGATACCTCCCTAGCTGGCCAAATGAACGCTGGCCATCAGTATGCAACCTTAACATCTCATAGCAGCCAGATCACTCCATTGAAAATGAACTCTAGTAAGTAACTCAGGACCTGGGGAATCAACAATTGAACAGATCACAGGCACAAGAACAAACCACAAGATGGTATTATCATAACTATAAGATCATTATAGATGTCTGTAATGTTTGTAGTATTCTATGGTTATTATGTAATTTATACAGTAATTTATGCAATATATACTACTGATTCTCATTTAGTACAAACATGGTAATCTAATTACTCCTGAAATAATATTAAGTCTATTTTGAGTCTAAGAAGCTCTGATGGGCTAGTGGAAAGAACCTGCACTGCAATCCTGAAGGCATGCAGTTCAAATCCACCAGCTGCTCTGAGGCAATAGGATGGGCTCTCTCCTCCGCTGCAATTGACTGACTCTGAAAGCCCACCTGAGGATCAGTTATGGGTCTGTACACAGTATGTATATCAGTCTGTATATCAGTATGGCCTGTACACAACAACAACCATGAGGCTGAGGAGGAAGATGTTTTGCCATAAGAAAAGTAACATTGTTTAGGCTTAGAAGTATGACAACATATTTTTACTGTATGTTTAACACCTGGAGAATGCCAATTTATTATCTTCAGACATCCTGAAGACAATTTAGTAGCACCCTTTATTTCCAGGTTTAATGAAGACCCTGGAATTCAGGTCCATAATTGGTATTAGAATTTTATATACTTACGTGCAATCACCTGAAGATCCAGAAGACAGGTGCTGGTTCCAATGGCATTAGAGGCCACGCACTGGTACAAACCTGAAGACAGTGAGCTGATGTTCCGAATGGTGACTGTCCCCTGAACCTGGTCTGTCACAAAAATAAAAATCATCTGAGGATTTAGGAGAAAAATTAGAAAAACCAAAGAAATTGGCTGAAAACTTAAAAATAAACAGGCTCCATGTTTGAGTCTCCCACTTGCCACATGACTCTGCACTCCTGTCTCTAAAAGAAAAATAACTATGTGGTGTCTGCAAGATTGTTTGAGTCAAGTAATAAAGAAACCTAGGTTTTCCTAAACCATTCATCCTGCACTAAAGAGACTGCTGATAACACGTGAAAAAGAATGAAAAATGAAACAAACCAAACCAAAAAACCAACAATGGAGTGCTGTCAATAATTTCTCTTTTAGAGAGAGATTAAGACTCAGTTCATAGTGCTATATGCTAAAATCACTGCAACACATCAAAAGCCTGGCTCTTTACAGGACTGGCCTGAAGGAGCTGAGCCTTATGATAACCCGAAAATTCCCATGTTAAGTCCTAAATTTTAAATGTAGTGTCCCTTCTGGAAATTGTGGCTAATGCCTATCCTAGAGAATTTATGATCATTTACATTAAGTTTCCATTTTGAAGCAATGCAATCACATAATTAAATTCATTACAATAATGCTGACTTAATACTCAATAGAACAAATGAAAATTCTACTCTAGGGTATAGGATTGGTGGAAGATTCATCAATAGCCTGCATTAGGCAGATGACACAACCCTGTTTGCTGAAACTGAGGAAGACCTGAAGTGATTTCTGTAGAAGGTCAAGGACTGTAGTTTTCAATATGGATTGAAGCTCAAAATCAAGAAAACCAAGATTCTCACCACAGACCTGATTGGCAGAATCATGATGGATGATGAAGAGATTAAGATTGTTGACAGCTTTAGTTTGCTTGGCTCCACAACCAACACTCTTGGTACCAGTAGCCAGGAAATCAAGAGATAAACTGCATTGGGAAAGTCAGCTGTCAGAGACCTCTCCAGAGTATTGAAGAGCAAAGGTATTAGTCTGTAGACTAAGGTGCACCTGATCCAGGCCACAGTATTCGCAATTGCTTCCTATGCATCAGAGAGCTGGACGAGTAGTGATGATAGAGAATTAATGCCTTTGAGCTGTGGTTCTGGAGAAGTCTGCTGAATATACCATGGACTGCTAGGAGAACAAACAGGTTCATCCTAGAGAGTGTGAAACCAGCCTGCTTCTTGGAGGCAAGGATTCTGAGGCTTCGTCTGACATCCTATGGGCATGTTTCAAAGAGGGACTGGTCTTTGGAGAGGGAAATCATGCCTCAAATGGTGGAGGGATGGAGAAAGAGAGGGAAATCATTAATGAGATGGATTGATTCAGTGACTGGGTTTAAGGGTGGTAGGTATGTCCAAGACAGTGAAGTTGGCACAGGACAGAGAAGGTTTCAGGGCTGTTGTTCAGTGTTGATATGAGTCACAAGTGACTTGATGGCCCATAACAACAACAACAACAACAGGGTGTAGGATGTTACTCCTTTCTAACAACTATTCTAATTGTTTATGTTCATTTACAGCTTCCAAGAATTAAGACATATACTCAAGGAAATACCAGTAATGGAGATGGAGACATAGGGGAGAAGAGTTGGACAGCCTTTGGATAATGATGTTTGCTTTGTAAATCAGAGTATTTAAATGGCAAGGCTGATGGTACATGGACAGCATACTTATGGAGAACTTAACGCCTGATAATGACATACTCGGATTGTATTGGACCTATTTGATGTAAATGATCATAAATTCTACTTGGTGTTTCTTGATTGACCCTTGTGCACTCTTTCTTTTCCTTAAGAATGAGGATCTCTCTCTTGCATTTTTATTGTGCACCACTGCATGTGCTCAATATAGTCTTTAAATACCTCTCTTTTGTCATAAAGCCTAGTTTTTAATCTTCCTACTTTTCAAGGATGAGAAATCTCAAAGAAGCTATGGAATCTACTCAAGATTAAACAGTGCACAGGCATATGCCAGCCATCTGTAAAACAGGTCTGTTCAACTCTGGAGCTCATAATGATCAACCGTAATGACCAACCCGTGATCCACTTCATACACTTTCCAGTAAGAGACTTAAAATTCACATTCCCTGTAGGGTGCATTTATGGAATATTTCTTACCCAGGAAATGTGCCCAGTTTGTATTAAACTAGGCCACAAACTTCACTCCATCTTCAGTGCATGTCCTCATGTCAACATCCAAGAAAATGAATAAGCAACTGAACTTAAAATTACACAAGGTGCAGCTTTGTTCTGTTGTGTTTCTCAGCCCTGAAATTCTAAGAATGCGATCAGTTCACATGGAATCGATAAATGACTTTGCTAGCATTTTCAGACATAATTTGAGACCTTTTTACAGCTGACCTAAGCAACACTCTGTCATATGGAAGAATTAGCATTTAAAGAAAATATATTTTTTTTAAAAAATACTTTTTAAAAGAAGTCACTGCTCTTCCTTTTGTCTCTACCAACAGATACCATAAGCAGGGAGCTGTAAGAAGTTCTTAAATGAAGCTGACATACCATACCAGAGCACATTGATAGGAGAAGATTAACAAGAGGCAAAACAGGGCCACTCATGGAGACAAGGAAAAGCAGAGATGGAGGACCTCCCCAGCAAACACCTAAATGTCTGCAGCCACAGACCACAAAGACCTTCCTGAAGTCAGCAGAGCTAATGCCTCAATCAATCATTTCCCTTGGCCTGCTCTGGCACAAAAGTATCCGGCTGAAGTAGATTTAGAGAATAAATGTTCTTTTGCTCTTCCTTTTAGAGAGAAGTTCAACTGTTTGGAACTACATACTAAATACAGAAAGCACATATAGAGCCTACTCTGACTTTGGTATAAGTCATAGCAATGTTCTCTACCTGAACCAGAATGCCCTTTGGAACTAAAGAGAAACAAACACAAACATGCATTAATACTTCTGGTCTCTCTCTTGAGTTCCAAACTCAATCTTGACTTGCCTAGTACATGATGCAGATGTTAGGAGCGTGGGCCCTGGAACTGGACAATCTGAATCTGGTTCTATGACCCAGGAGCTACAATATCTTCAGAGTGTTACTTTCTTTCCCTCTTCTTTAACTTTTCTGATATGAGGGCTACTGAAGTATCTTTATATAATAAGGGAATGGGTTTGGGTATGGCAGAGATTGTAAAGGTGGCACAAGACAGGGCCAATTTTCAAACTACTGTTCATTGAGTCTCAATGAGTCAGATATGACTTGATGACATGTAATAACAAAAACATGAGAACAAAATGAGATGATGCGGGGAGCTCTGGTGGTCTAGTGGCAAGAAGCTGCAACTACAATCCCAGAGGTGCACGGTTCGAATCCACCAGATGCTCTGCCGGGGAAGGAGGGGCAATCTCCTCCTGTACCAGTCACATCTGATTTGACGGTACACGCACACAAAAATAATAAAATAAAATTTAAAAAAAATGAGATGATGCATGAAACAAGATTAACATAGTGCTTGATACTGTTTCCTGTGAGAATCCCCTTGTGACATTTCTTGAGAGTTTTAGATGTGTTCTGAATTCTGTGAAGAACTGACCAAGAAATATGTGAAATAGTGAAAGTGTTTTGAATCCTCAAACTCACTGATTCCCAATCAGAGGTACCCTCCACCAGATTTTCAAAGCTGTAAATCACAAAAGGGGAGACTGTTCATTGGTCTCCTGCAGAGTCACTGGGAGACTGGAACCACTGGCTTGATGAAGCTTCTGAAGTGCTAGCAGCGCCACTGACACTCCTAGTACCTCCCCATTCTAAACAGACACTGATTTATCCTTAGGGTTAGAAAATGAGAAACAGGAATCCCCCCAAATTAAAATGTATGTTGTTTTTTCCATAACACAATTCATGTAATTTTAGATTCTAATGAGTGAGCAAAAGAATACAAATACTTCATCACAGAACACTTTTAGAAGTAATCTATAAAGAAAGATGTAACAAATTATTTATTATCTGCACTGCTATATTATGGCAACATTAAGCATTTGAATAAAATGTAAAACTTACCTCAGTATAATTAAGACATTTTATTTTTTTAATAACATTTTTATTTTACACTGGTTTGCTTACAAAGTTTGTATAATTGTTTTTCACACCAGATCTTTCCTATTAATCAAGACATTTTCTAATAAAAAATGTGAAAGGGGATATTAAAATAAAACAAATGTTGAAACACCATTAACAAAAGTAAAATGCAATATATTATTTAACATTATTATAGAATGACTATGAGAATCTAAGTGTGAGTAGAAGCAGATGGGTGAGGATGTATGTGTGTTGGGGGTATTAATGATGAGGTCATACAATTTAATTGAGGAGGTGAGGGAAATGGGAATGATCTGGTGTGAAAAACAATGTATTTGAATTTTGTAAATAAACTAGTATTAAAAACCCCCCAAACTTTCATTCTTCTATCCCAAGGACATCAAGAGTGAAGACAAAGAGATCTGTACATCTATGTTCATAGTAGCATTACTCACAATAGAAAAAAAAAGCAAGCAATTTAAATGCCCATCAACAAATGAATGGATAGAAAAACTGTGGCATAGTCCCCCAATGGAATACTGTATAAAACAATGAGTATTTGTGAAGTACATTGTAAAATGGGAGAGTCTAAAGAGCATCAAATTGACTGAAAGAACTCAGTTGTAAAAATAGTGCATAAGATTGTGACTGTGAACACAGGAGGGTAACTAAGGGGGCGGAAGGTAAGAACAGAAGTGTAACAGGTAGATAAAGAAGACCATAAGTACCAACACAAGGAGGATCAACCTAGGGAAAGTGAGGTAAATACAATACAGCTACTGCAATTACTAGATAGGAACAAGATACACAGATAATTGTTTAAAGGGACAGGAGAGGAGGGGGGTGGAAGGAGAAAGAGAAAATCACTAGGAGAGGAGAGATAACTGGGGTTCATGGGGTAAAGAAATGGGCAAGATGAAATTTCATCTCACATGCTTTGGGCACGTGGCCAGGAAGGATCAATCCATGGAGATGGA